AGGAGGCTCACCACGGACCGTGACACTCTCAAGTTAAAAATCACGAGTCGCTTCACAAGAACAAAAATTCAAAACACAAAAAATAACTTCAAAAATTAATTTCAAAGTATGGGCAAAATCAGAAGGGAAATCAATCAATCAAAGGATCGCCAAAGTAAAGACCTTGCTGTCAAAAAAGGATTTTGAAACAGTTATTCATGCTTTTATTACATCAGGGACAGTGCTTAATTTGAGCCTGATCTTGCCGGAACAAGATCCGGGAACTATTTTATTTTGAAAGGACCGTTCCGGCAACTTTCTGCTAGGATCCGGCTACTCACGTGAACAACTTGTGCGTTTGGATCCTTACCTCCGCTCCACTCACCAGCACGTCCTGACAGAATGAGGCAACCCAGTAAAGGATCCAGCGGGGAGGTTCTCCCTTGGGAGTGCTTGCTCCAGTTTTTACCTTCGGACCACTGGCCGGCTCCTCTTCCTCCGGCACCGCCTCGCCGCGGACGCCGCCGCCGAGCCCGGGCTTCGGCGATCCTCTCCACCCTCCCGGAGCCGGAAGGAGAGTTGGACAGGGAGGCGCAGACGGACCACTCCTGCTACGTGGGCACCAGACTGGCTGTGTGCTCCCCCGGAGTTGGCCCACAGCGTTTGGAAGGATGCCGGGCTCCACCGTCACCCCTTGTCCCCGGACGGAGCCGCGAGCTCGCAGCTGCCCCGACTCGGCGCGCCAGTTTGGAGCCGCCCCCAGTCGGATCAGCTGTCCCGTCTCCGGTCCAATCAGTGCCTCCGTCATCTGCAGGTGGAGGAACCACGCCTACAGCCCAGCTGACAGAGCTCGCCGATCTCCAGGCGGAGCTTGGCCGGATCCGTTAGCTCGTCAGCCTGCGGGAGTTCCAGCTGGACACCCTATCCTCCCCGTATCTCCAGGAGAGGGTTTCTGTCCAGCCAGCGGCCCCACCTCCGGTCCAGCCAGCGGCTCCCTCGTCTCAAAGCCAGAGGAGCAAGCCTGCAGTCCACCCAGCAGAGCTCGCCGGTCTCCGAGCTGAGCTGGCCCGACTCCGTCAGATCCTCAGTCTCCAGGAGTTCCAGTTGGACAATCTATCCTCCCTGCTTTTCCAGTTACTGGCTCCACCAGTTCCCGCGCCACCAGTCCAGTCAGCGCCAGTTCCAGCGGTGGTCTCAGAGGTAGCGCCGCATCCTGTTCCAGCGGTGGTCCCAGAGGTTGCACCGCGTCCAGTCCAGCCTGTCCAAGTGGTCCCGTCTGCAGCAACTCCTCCTCCACTCCAGAAGCCGGCGGTCCAGAAGCCGACGGACCAGATGTCGACGGACCGGAAGTCGACGCCCCCAGGCCCGAAGTCGACGCCCCCAGGCCAGAAGTCGACGCCCCCAGGCCCGAAGTCGACGCCCCCAGGCCAGAAGTTGACGCCCCCAGGCTAGAGGTCAACGCTCTTTCCAGTCCAGAGGTTGATGCTCTTTCCAGTCCGGAGGTCGCCGCTCTTTCCAGTCCAGAGGTCGCCGCTCTTTCCAGTCCGAAGGTCGACGCTCTTTCCAGTCCGGAGGTCGACGCTCTTTCCAGTCCGGAGGTCGACGCGCTTTCCAGTCCGGAGGTCGACGCTCCTTCCAGTCCGGAGGTCGACGCTTCTTCCAGTCCGGAGGTCGACGCTCCTTCCAGTCCGGAGGTCGACGCTCTTTCCAGCCCGTAGGTCGACGCTCTTTCCAGTCCAGAGGTCAATGCTCCCTCATGTCCAGAGGTCGACGCTCCCTCGTGTCCAGAGGCCGACGTCCCCTCTAGTCCGACGTCTCCGCCGTCTCTAGTCCCGTGGTCGACGCCATCTCCATCCAGTGGTCGACGCCATCTCCAGTTCCAGCGGTGGTCCCGGAGGTCGCACCGTGTCCAGTTCCAGCGGTGGTCCCGGAGGTCGTACCGTGTCCAGTTCCAGAGGTGGTCCCGGAGGTCGCACCGTGTCCAGTTCCAGCGGTGGTCCCCGAGGTCGCTCCATGTCCGATTCCAGCGGTGGTCCCCGAGGTCGCACCATATCCGGTCCAGCCCTTCCACGAGGCTCCGGTCCAGCCCATCCATGAGGATCTGGTCCAGCCCGTCCAAGAGGCTTTGTCTCCGGTCCAGCGTGTCCAAGAGCCTTTGTCCCCGGTCCAGCCTGTCCAAGAGACTTTGTCCCCTGTCCAAGAGGCTTTGTCCCCAGTCCAGCCTGTCCAAGAGACTTTGTCCCCTGTCCAAGAGTCTTTGTCCCCAGTCCAGCCTGTCCAAGAGACTTTGTCCCCTGTCCAAGAGGCTTTGTCCCCGGTCCAGCCTGTCCAAGAGACTTTGTCCCGTCCAAGAGACTTTGTCCCCAGTCGGGCCTGTCCACGAGACTTTGTCCCCGGTTCAGCCTGCAGAGACTTTGTCCCCGGTCCAGCCTGCAGAGACTTTGTCCCCGGTCCAGCCTACAGAGACTTTGTCCCCGGTCCAGCCTGCAGCGACTTTGTCCCCGGTCCAGCCTACAGAGACAATGCCCATAGATCCATCCAAAGGGTCGACGTCTCCAGTACAAGAGGATGGCGTCGTCCCCTCCTCTCAAGAGTTCCCGTCTACGTCCTCTCAAGAGTCTCCAGTGCCCCATGTGTTTCAGTCTCCTGTGTACTGTCCTCGCCTCCTCCTCTGCCGCAGATGCAGGCCCCCAAGAGCCCGTTGTCGCCTCCTCCTCTGCCACAGACGTAGGCCCCCATGAGCCCGTCGCCGCCTCCTCTGCCACAGACGCAGGCCTCCAAGAGCCCATCGTCGCCTCCTCCTCTGCCGCAGATGCAGGCCCCCACGAGCCCGTCGCCGCCTCCTCTGCCACAGACGCAGGCCCCCAAGAGCCCGCCGTCGCCGCCTTCTCTGCCACAGACGCAGGCCCCCAAGAGCCCGTCGTCGCCGCCTCCTCTGCCCTAGACGCAGGCCCCCGGACTCTGCTGGTCACTGCCTCCTCTCCATCCGCCCCTCCGTCCGGGTCCCCCTCCTCCCGCCCTGCTCTGTGTTGCTGTGAGTGTCTGGAAGCCGCCCTTTGAAGGGGGGGGGGGGGGGGGGGGGGGGGGGGTACTGTCACACCCTGTCCTGTCTCCCCATTTGGTTCAGCCTGTGTCTCTGTTGATTGCTCCCACCTGCCTTTCGTTTCCTAATCACCCAAGCTCCCAGCCCTCCTGTATTTAAACCCCTCCAGTTCTGTGTCTCTTGCTGCCTCATTGTTTCCATGCCCTGTGTCCAGATGTCATTAAAACACTTTTGAGTTTTCTAGTTTGTCTGCCAGCCTGCTTCCTCCCCAGCGTTTGGGTCCTTACCTCCGCTCCCCTCACCAGCGTGTCCTGACAAGTTACACCAATCTAACGAGACAGAGCCTGGATTTGTATTCTGAACAGTTTAAACATGTTTAAAACGGAGACATGCGTGAGGCGTCTAAAATTCGCACCTGCTCAACTATTATGGAAATTAAACTAACAAGATGAATAACATGAAATTATTTTGGGCACAGACGACATCCCCCACACTTTTGAAAATCTTGCAACGCGCCTGTCCACACCCAGGGAGAGGCCAAAAAAGATCCTGGTTCTACTTACCGTAAATCCTCTAATACAGACCCGGGCCTGTATTTGACTCAAGCTCATCAAGCTCCAGGCCTTTATTGGAAGGAGGGCCAGTATTAGAGGCAGGCCTCTATTTCTATTTGAGCAAAATGAACTAATGGTTCGCTGGAGTTTTTGACAATAAAAATTGCGCCCACATTTTCAAAGTTAAACACATTTCTTTTAACAACGGTAGTTTCTGCTTCAGCCCTCTCCCCCCTCCCCCTGCGCAGCGGCTGCAAACTCACTGATGCGCCTGCAGCCTCTCGGAGTTCCTGCTGCTCTAAACATTAAAATAATTATTTCATTTTCTGTTCCTCACTTCTGATTACCTTCAATGGTGTCTGTTTGTTGCAACCACCAGGTACAAAAACTAACTTGTTTTTATTTGACTATTTTTCTGTCCTGCCTGTTTATTATCTTCTTGCGTCTCCTCTCAATCCTAAAGAAAAACTGCTACCTGGGTTCATATATATTCACCTTATGAATTACCTTTGAACTGCAGTTCTAAATGATCTACCGACTGCAAAAACAGCGGAGTGCTCGCTGCTTGCCAGCCGCATCAGTGATCGGTGCGTCACCGGAGGCCAAGGTGATGCGCCCCGCTCCACAGCGAAACGCATCAGGTGCAAATAAAAGACAGAAAACATTAAAGGAAATGAACCGACATGAACGATCGCGTGTTAAATTAGTTTTTGAGGTGGCGACACCTGATTTGATAATGTTACTGTGGCCGTGCTCAGGACGCAGATCTACCGACCGCAAAAACAGCGGAGTGCTCGCTGCTTGCCGGCCGCATCAGTGATCGGTGCGTCACCGGAGGCCAAGATGATGCGCCCCGCTCCACAGCGAAATGCAACAGGTGCAAATAAAAGACAGAAAACATTAAAGGAAATTAACCGACATGAACGATCGCGTGTCAGTACCGACACTCTGGCACAGCGCGTTGCCCCCCCGAGCGCAGGAGCTTGTCACCTGCTGACAGCAGGCTGCTGTCTTTTCTGAGGGCTGCATTTTGCTGGTCATTATCACGTGACAGCGACTAGTCGATGACAGGCATAAAAAGTCACTATAGTGAAGTCTACTAGTTCATACAACCCCTACTGCTCCCCAGTGTTCTGCAGCATAATCAGCACGTTCTCTTTGAACTTGATACCAAATTTTCGCCTCGTCTTCATCTCCGCACGGTTAAAGTTACCCTCGCAGTCTATCACTGGCAAATCAAAAGTGAGACGGATGACACAACACCCCCCCCCCCCACCCCCACCCCCCCGTACTTGCTTGTGACCACATTCCACCCAGCCACAATAAGAGACCGGCCATTATTCACCTCCGCCGACTCCGACACCGGCCAAAATTGGAGACCCGGCCTTTAATTGACACACAAGGAAAAAAAATTACACCTACAACTTTGTTTCAAATTGCGTGGAGTGTATTATACATAACAACGTTTGCTAACTGAATACAACATCCAGCTCCTGGCCACCTTCTCACCACTTGTCAAAGTTCTACTGAAATAGTGATGACAACATCTGCCATCGCCTTCATTCCTGGGAAATATAAAAGTAGTTGGCACCTTAGTAGGTCCTCTTCGAACTAGCTCTGTGCGTATGCTGTCGGTAATCGGTGATGGCCACTTGGCTGGGTCTGAAGAAAGAGGCTCATCATCACCTTCAATGGGACTCATTGGTTGATCGGTTTCAGGCTTCTCTATTGACAGAAAACAGAAGCATAACTCAACACATTGCTATGTGGACCATTTCACATATTCTATTAAAATACAATATGTGACATTCAAATTTCTCCAACGTTTGCAGGACACACACACACAAACACACACTTGTGCAAAACTTACCTGACGTATCTTGTTGGGGAGATGTGGCAGCTGGCTGTCCCTCATCAAGTTCACATATACTGGTAGGTCTCTCTATTGACAGAAAATAGAAGCATAACTCACCACATTGCTATATGGAACAATTCCCATATTCTGTGAAAATACTATTTAAATGTCTATAGCTAAATGTTTGCTGGACACACACACATGTGCAAAACCCACCTAAAGTATCTTCCTGGGGAGATGTGGTGCCAGCAGACTGTCCCTCCTCGAGTTCAAATACTGGCCTAATGGTATGAACAGTGGAGGTAGATGGCTGTTTCTCAGTGACAGCTGATGTCATCCCAAAGTATCTGCGTAGGGCTCCTGATGCTGCATAAAACAAACAATACAATCTTCATGTCACGTCTGTTGCTTTAGCATTTTAATTAACATGTTACAATGAGCATTTACAGTTTTCAGCAGTGGTGGAAAGAATTCTGAAAATCTGTAATCAAGTACAAGTACTGTTACACTGCTAAAATATTACTCATTTACAAGTAAAAGTACTGGTGTTAGAGAAATACTCAAGTTAAAGTACAAAGTATTCATAAAAACCTCAGAGTATTATTTATTTTTAACGGCTGATGTCACCATCACTTCTCCAGACTGGGGCTGCCTGGAAATTGTGTGTTTTCCTTTACCAAAAATTAAAATACCAACAATCTATTAATCATTAATAATTGATAAGATACAAAACAAGTGTTTTTCCCTCTTTTTTTTTTGTCATTTTAAGTTTTTATTTCCTTATTCAGCAAATGTCTCCGGCAGACTTCTGCCTGCCAATATGGCACTGTTTCGATTTGAACTGTTGCATGCCGGGAGAAGTGATGTCAATTCCCGGAGTTCTATAGGTAAAGTTTCTCAGTTGCAGTTCGCTATAAAGTGTTGTTCTTTGCGTCAGGTAGTTGAAGTTTCTGGATGACGATGATTGGGTGCTGATAGTGTCATGTTCTGTGTCCCTTTGTTCCCCAGCTCCTCCAGTTTCCACTCCAGGTTCTCCTTTTGTGTTCTCTTAGCAACCTCATGTGTACTTTGTCTGCATCTCTGTTGTGTGTCTTAAGTTGTAGCCCCAGCCTCTTGTTCCCCAGTTCATTGTATGTGTGTATGAGTTTGTGGGTGTCAGTATGTGTATGTGTTTGTGTGAGTCCTTCCCTTAGTCTTTAGGTTTAGTTTTGTGTTTTATATAGTGTTGGGTTTATCTGCCCTCCTCTGGTTCTCTTCCCCATCCAAATAATTGTTGTCACCTGCCTTACTCCACACACCTGCTTCCTGTTTCCCTAATTGCTCCTCCCTGTCTATATAAGCCCTCCTTGTCTCATTGTTCTTGTCGGTCCATTGTTGTTTTATGTCAGCGTTGTTTTTGTCTCTCCCTCCTGGTCTCTGGTTCTCTGCTCATGAAGTGTGCTTTTGAGTTTTGGCTCCCCACCCCTTTGGATTTACTTGGTTTTTGGTTCACCTTAAAATAAAGGATTTTACTTTACATCATCTCCTGCCTCGTGTCATCCTGGGTTTCTGCAATTTGGTTTCTACCATCCCTTCAAAACGTGACAGAATGGACCGACCAACACAGAAACCAGCAGAACCCGGGACTCTACCACCAGACCGATACAGGTACTGTGGCAACCCAGATGGATGCCAGATCTTCGTGGAAGTATGCGCTCGTCTGGACTCTGTTTCCTCAGACTTCGAGAGGCTCTCCATAATGTTATTCAGTCTGGGTGGTAGCGCCCACCGCTGGGCTGCGGACTATTTTGTAGACCACCCACTCAGATCTGTGCCGTTTTGGACATTTGCTAAGGAGCTACTACAGACTTTTGGCTGTGACCCTATTCCACCAGGTTCACCAACGAACCAACCCGAGGGTCCTGGTTGTGGGAGGAGTTTTCCAGCAGCTTCTCCAGGTCAGCGTTGCTGGCGAAGTGCAGTTCCTCCTGACGTTACCTCTAGTCTCCTGGTGGGTCAGGTCTCTGCGGGATCTGTCTATTCGCTTCATGGTGTGCGCTCAGGTCCTGGAGTCATGCAGGAAGCGGCCTCCACTCCCCTGGTGGTTCAGAGGTCTCCCACTCGACGCCAACGCCACAACCGACACAATCAGTCGTCTGAGGCCAGAGCTGGGCATCCTGTTCCGGCGGTGGTCCCGGAGGACACATCGCATCCTGCCTCGGCGGTGGTCCCGGAGGACGCATCGCATCCTGCCTCGGCGTTGGTCCCGGAGGACATATCGCTTACAGTCTCGGCGGTGGTCCAGGAGGACGAATCGCATCCTGTCTCGGCGGTGGTCCCGGAGGACGCATAGCATCCTGTCTCAGCGGTGGTCCCGGAGGACGCATCGCATCCAGACCAGCCCTTCCAAGAGGCTTCGGTCCAGCCCTTCCAAGAGGCTTCGGTCCAGCCCTTCCAAAAGACTCCGGTCCAGCCCTTCCAAGAGGCTCCGGTCCAGCCTTTCCAAGAGGCTCCGGTCCAGCCTTTCCAAGAGGCTCCGGTCCAGCCTGTCCAAGAGGCTCCGGTCCAGCCTGTCCAAGAGGCTCCATTCCAGCCTGTCCAAGAGGCTCCGGTCCAGCCTGTCCAAGATGCTCCGGTCCAGCCTTTCCAAGAGGCTCCGCTCCAGCCTTTCCAAGAGGCTCCGCTCCAGCCTGTCCACGAGGCTCTGCTCCCGGTCCAGCCTGTCCACGACGCTCCGCTCCCGGTCCAGCCTGTCCACGAGGCTCCGCTCCTGGCCCAGCCTGTCCAAGAGGCTCTGCCCAGTACAGCGCCCCCAGGCCGAGGGTCGACGCCCCCAGGCCAGAAGTCAACGACCCCAGGCCGAGGGTCGATGCCCCCAGGCCAGAAGTCGACGACCCCAGGCCAAGGGTCGACGCCCCCAGGCCAGAAGTTGACGCCGCCCAGGCCAGAAGTCGACGCCCCCAGGCCAGAAGTTGATGCCCCCCAGGCCAGAAGTTGACGCCCCCAGGACAGAAGTTGACGCCCCCAGGACAGAAATCGACGCCTCCCGCCGCCCGTCTCGAGGTCGACGCCTCCAGCCTAGAGGTCGACGCCTCCCGTCTCGAAGTTGACGCCTCCCGTCTCGAAGTCGACGCCTCCCGTCTCGAAGTCTACGCCTCCCGTCTCGAGCTCTGAAGAGGACGTTCCCGTCTCGAGCTCTGAAGAGGACGTTCCCGTCTCGAGCTCTGAAGAGGACGTTCCCGTCTCGAGCTCTGAAGAGGACGTTCCCGTCTCGAGCTCTGAAGAAGACGTTCCCGTCTCGAGCTCTGAAGAAGACGTTCCCGTCTCGGGCTCTGAAGAAGACGTTCCCGTCTCGGGCTCTGAAGAAGACGTTCCCGTCTCGAGCTCTGAAGGAGACGTTCCCGTCTCGAGCTCTGAAGGAGACGTTCCCGTCTCGAGCTCTGAAGGAGACGTTCCCGTCTCCGGCTCGGAAGTAGACGTTTCCGGCTCTGGCTCTGAAGTCGACGTCTCCCTGTTTCCTGTCTCAAGTCTCCCAGTCACAAGTGTTCCTGTCTCAAGTCTCCCAGTCACAAGTGTTCCTGTCTCAAGTATCCCAGTCACAAGTGCACCTGTCTCAAGTCTCCCAGCCACAAGTGTTCCTGTCTCCAGCCTCCCAGTCACAAGTGTTCCAGTCTCCCAGTCTCACGTGCTCCAGTTCCCCAAGCCTCAAGTGTTCCAGTCTCCCAAGTCTCAAGTCTCCCCACAAGCGTTCCAGTCCCCCAAGTCTCAAGTGTTCAAGTCTCCCAAGTCTCAAGTCTACCCACAAGCGTTCCAGTCCTCCAAGTCTCAAGTGTTCAAGTCTCCCAAGTCTCGGGTCTCCCCACAAGTGTTCCGGTTTCCTCAAGTGTTCCAGTTCCCTCAAGCGTTCCAGTTCCCTCAAGTGTTCCGGTTCCCTCCAGTGTTCCAGTCCCCTCCAGTGTTCCAGTCCCCTCAAGTGTTCCAGTCCCCTCAAGTGTTCTAGTCCCCTCAGGTGTTCCAGTCCCCTCAAGTGTTCCTGTCCCTCAAGTGTTCCTGTCCCCTCAAGTGTTCCACTCTCCCAAGTCTCAAGTGTTCCACTCTCCCAAGTCTCAAGTGTTCCACTCTCCCAAGTCTCAAGTGTTCCACTCTCCCAAGTCTCAAGTGTTCCACTCTCGCAAGTCTCAAGTGTCCCACTTTCCCAAGTCTCAAGTGTCCCACTTTCCCAAGTCTCAAGTGTCCCACTTTCCCAAGTCTCAAGTGTCCCACTTCCCCATATCTCCAGTCTCCCAGTCACAAATGTTCCAGCCTCCCAAGTCTCAAGTCTTCCAGTCTATGTCCCTGTTGCCGGCCCCTTAGGCTTCTCTGGTCCCGCCTCCTGGTTCCCCGTCGCCAGCCCCCAAGAGAACTCTGGTCCCGCCTCCTGATTCCCCGTCGCCGGCCCCCAAGTCTTGCCCGGTCCCGCCTCCCGGTTCCCCGTCATCGGCCCACCAGAGTCCCCTGGTCCCTGGTCCCTCCTCGCCCGCCCTTGTGGGTTGTTTTTTGTCTGGTCCCTCCTCTCCCGCCCTGTGGTCTCTCGTGTCCTGTTTTGTCTTTGTCTTTTGTTTGCGTTTTTGTCTTGTTCTGGTTTTGTGCATCTGGTATCCGCCCTTGAGGGGGAGGGGGTACTGTCATGTTCTGTGTCCCTTTGTTCCCCAGCTCCTCCAGTTTCCACTCCAGGTTCTCCTTTTGTGTTCTCTTAGTGTCCTCATGTGTCCTTTGTCTGCATCTCTGTTGTGTGTCTTAAGTTGTAGCCCCAGCCTCTTGTTCCCCAGTTCATTGTATGTGTGTATGAGTTTGTGTGTGTCAGTATGTGTATGTGTTTGTGTGAGTCCTTCCCTTAGTCTTTAGGTTTAGTTTTGTGTTTTATATAGTGTTAGGTTTATCTGCCCTCCACTGGTTCTCTTCCCCATCCAGATAATTGTTGTCACCTGCCTTCCCTCCAGCGTCACTCCACACACCTGCTTCCTGTTTCCCTAATTGCTCCTCCCTGTCTATATAAGCCCTCCTTGTCTCATTGTTCTTGTCGGTCCATTGTTGTTTTATGTCAGCGTTGTTTTTGTCTCTCCCTCCTGGTCTCTGGTTCTCTGCTCATGAAGTGCGCTTTTGGATTTTGGCTCCCCACCCCTTTGGATTTACTTGGTTTTTGGTTCACCTTAAAATAAAGGATTTTACTTTACATCATCTCCTGCTTCGTTTCATCCTGGGTTTCTGCATTTTGGTTTCTACCATCCCTTCAAAACGTGACAGATAGATCCTGTCATGATTGTGT